TTAAAGATCCTTTTTTTTTACTTTTACATGTGATAAACATGCGCAAAAAACCGCCGGTTTACCGCGGTTTTACCGGTCCGGTTACCGGCTCCCATTACCGCAAAACGGATAAATACCGCGGTTTATCGCAAAAATTGATCCGGTATTCGCAACATGGGTGGGCCCTAGAAAAATCATGTATCTTTTCATTTATGAAGCACCACTCTCATACTTGCTTCATTTGAAGTGTTGTTCAAGAAAAAGAAGTGAACAGGTAATTGATGATTACCCTAGTCAAACTTTCTTCTATTCATGCGTTTGCCGAGACTTGAGCTCAAGATGTGTCCATAGTGCATGACTTTCTTGCTCAATGCAAGCGCTTGAATGTTTGCTTGAGTTACAAAAGAATGTAACTATAAATTTCTATTGCAAGTTGAGTTATTTTGAAAGTAAAATTGAAAAAGTTCTTTAATAACAGAACCGCTTAGATAAAAATTAAAGTGCATGAGCAAGAATATCCAGTGATAGAACAAGAAGTTTAAGAACTTGAGCTCATCGAAAGGCCTCATGTCTTGCCTCAAGGTGTGCCCATAGTTCTTGACTTTCTTGATCAAGAAAATCAAGAATTGCACGCGCTTGCAAAAAAAGTTCGACTAAGGTGTTAACTTTTATGTCAATTGTTATAATTTATATTACTTTGAAAATTACACCTTTCACTTTTGATAAATGACATGAAATGTTGATCTATTTTGAAATGTCTCATACATATTTTTTTATAATTATGTTCTACTGTATTATCTTCCAATATCTATTTGATTAAAAATTTCTCAGAACTTTCTTGGTTTCCAATCAAGAATAGAAGCCACAACTATATGAGGGAGAAAAATCATGTCATTTTTACAATAAAATCATTCGTCATCAAACTTCATTACGTGATAAATATTTATGTCAAAAGCAATTTCCTTGATTAAGACACGACATAAAATCAAAGGCGCTTTTTTTAAATTTTTCATCGAACAAAAACCATAAGACCATCAGCAATATGATAATCACTCAGACTTCCATTGGTAGAATATGTTGTTGGGCTATAATAAATTGTTGGAACAGATGCTGACGTGGTACCTGCAGAAGATGCAGTACATAAATCTTTATAGCCACCATCAACAAAAAAGAATCCATAAAAATCTTGAGTGCATCTACTTGTTGAATATTTTAAATTAAAATTAAATGATCGTATACAATCGCTATCTGTATAAATTGATTTCATTTGTGTTTGACCAGCGACTGTGCTTGAATATTGTGTTAGATTCCAATATTGATTTGAGAGAAGAGTTCTCAGTGAAAACCAAGTTGTTATATTTGTTTGTGAAGCATTGAAAATAAGAAAATCAAAAATAATCGTACGATTGACAATAAACGCAACGGCAACTTGATTTGCTTGATAGGTCATATCATTCCATTGCGATATTAAAATGCTAAACCAATGTGATGTTGATTGATTAATTGAAATCGTTGGAATATTTGTTAATGTAGTTAAATTACTAGAATTTAACCATAAAAATGGTTGACTATTGTTTGTATATAATTTTGCAACAGGTATCCATGGATTTTCTGTACCGAAAGAAAGATTTTGAGGGTTTAATAAGCGTGTTCCATTATTGATATAAACCGAAGTTAGTGTTCGATTCGTATAAATAGTTACATTTGACATTAATAATAATAACAATTGAGAATTGTTTTTTGGATATGTGGCATATAATTGACAGAAGTACGTCGTATTTGATATTTGCATCACACTAATCGAAAGACAATGTGGATGAGCAATACAAGTGCACATACATACACTTGATCTTGTTAAACTTATGTTTGAAAACGAAACACCAGTGGAATAAGTGGCATTAATAACGTTAGTTACTTGTATAGAATATATGGAGATAATGCTGCATATCAACAGTAGATCAATCAATAGGAATGCAAAGTTCATCGTCTTTTTAGCAACGAGTATAGTGTGAAAAAATAAGTTATGATGAAGATAGAATAATTTGAATATATAAACGGAAGGTGAAGTTTAATATTTTTAATTCCTCAAAGAGAAAGTAATCGAGGGAAAAAATAATTTTCACTGTTTATAATTTCTTTAGAATCAAAATGTGTTTTTAATCGAGAAAAAGAAAATTGAAGTTTCATGACATTTCACGATTCTTTTTGTTTTCATTCTCCAGTAATATCAAAACTCAAGAGAAACAGAACATACACAATAAACTATCCATGTAAATGCAGATATAGTGTTCAGTTTTATGATTTGAAATTTATTAGATCTACGAAACACAATATTGAATTTGTTTGAATAATAAATAACTCCAATGGAACACTAAACTATCATTTTAAGATTTTTATTTTCACCAGAACAATGAATCAACTATTGTGAAAGTCTTTTAGTTCAATGAGACCAAAACTCTAGAAATAGCTCTCATTGTTCTTGTCAATCAAATAGAAATCTAACAACAAAAATGAATATTTTATTATTTTCTACAATTGACTACCACATACAGTTCAACATATGAATAAAACAATGTTTGACCGGTAATAAAATATATGATGTTGTACGATCTAACGGGAAAATGACATTTCGTCTCACCTCTTTTTTACGAACTCCGCTAAAATAATTTGTTTACTATCTTCTGACATGAAAAAAACAGACATGGTGTTCGGAATCAATTCAGACAATAGCTTTTTCATAGGATATAACCATTGAAAAGGCTACTTTTAGAATTGATTTCGAACTCCAGGTAAATTTTTCACTTAATGAACATCAAAATTTGACTGGATATCGTAATCAGAATGTCCGGATGTTCGTAATGACAAAGACATGGAAATCGTAATAAAAAAAAAGACAATACGATTTTCGCACGTATTTTCAAGTTTTGTTTCTCTGTGAGAGAATATGAAGTGATACGGTATAGTTGCAACCTAAAATCACGTATAGCCAACGTTTCGGCGGATTCAAGCAACGACAATTGCACTTCTGTTTACTATAATAACTCTAGTATTAGTTATTATTCTCCTTATTCCTTCAATACATTCTGTTACAAGATGCTCGCTTTATTGAAAGAAAATAAATACATATATATTCATGACTCTAGTGTTAATGTACATCATCATTTTATTTATTCTTCGATGAATGTACGCGTTTTTTAACCAGGTTATTTGTTTATTTTTCGGTGTTGAAGCAATGAGACCCGATTGAGATGCTGATGTCCAAGATGAAAACGAAACAGCAGTAGTATGATCGCTGGGTCTAACTCTAAGATGATTCAATATTAGAGTGCAACGTAGATAAGATGTAGAAGCAGCTTCCCAAGTCGAGCAATCTAACAGTAGGCACCAATCGGATTTCGCGTTCCGGATTCGAAGTTGAATCCTCAGTGTCAGATTTCTATGAATTCCAAAGAAACACCGTTGGATGTCATTGGAATTTTAATGGGTTCCGACGTCAATTCATCGACCCGAAATCCTATGAGATTCTGTCGGATGATAGGATACTATCAAGTTCCTATCGAATTCGAAATGGATTTCTCGACCTGGGTTGCTCAGTTGTTGCTGTCGACAACTGTTGGTTTTTAATCAACTTATACCCTTAGAAACAACTTCTGAGACAAGCACAAGGAGTATACGTAAAGAAAGAATAATCGTCTACTTATATAATCATGGATGTAATCAAAAATGCAACCTATCATTATCTATAAGAGAAGAAAGTCTTTATATTAATTACAATATCCTTATAAATTCTTTTACGAACTCCATGCTTGAGCACCCTTAGAATTTCATTTCGAACTACTGGCGGTGTTTATTACGATCTTCCGGTGTTACGTTAAATATAGCAAAGATACTCTATTCCGAACATCCAGTAAACTCATCATGATCTTCCTGCTGTCTATTACGATCTCCGATACATAGGTGTTTACGAACTCACGTCATAAATTTTCTCGAATAAAATTCTTTTCCGAACACCCGGTAACACATTTACCGTGTTTGGAAGAGGTGAGACGAAACGTAAGTCACCCGATCTAACAATTTAATAATAGTGAAAATAACGCTTTACTTTTAAATATTCAAAAACGTTACTGTCGTTTTAGAGATTCTCATCGTGCATTTTCCTTTCTCATAATCTATCTTGAAAGCTAATATTATGTTTCAATAAAAATAATACTTTCGTAGAAATGCGTCACAAATATTTTTCGATTTTTAATTGAATTAAATGATTGATCGCATACACTTGAAATATCGATGCTGTCAAATTCAAATTAGAGGCAATGATAAATACTTGCTTTTGAATAGCGTCGAATTTCGTCATTTATTATAAATGTTGATTTTCATCTTACACGACGTCTGGCACTTCTTTTCTCTTATGTAGAATACTGAGAAAGAGAAGTACTAATTCATAGAATTTTTAAAAATAGAATATCATGAATAGAAACCCCCAGATTTCATCAATCAAATTATTCAAAGTATCGACAAGCATTCTTGTTAACAATTCCAAAGGCAAATTTGCATTCATCTATTATTTAAAATTAGACTAAAATATCGGAATAACTACAAAATATTCTTTTGTTTTGCGTATGTAAAAGCATAACAGATGAACCAAAAGAAAAGTCGTTAAGAAATGTAATGGCGCAGAGAATTTGAATACAAAAAAAAAAGCTATCAATCATTGAAACAAAAATTCGTTTAAACATGATTAATGAAGAGAAAAATCTTTATGTTGCAATACTAGATAAAAGAATATATGTTCGAGATCGACAAGTTTACTATGAAAAACAGATTATTTGAAAAAAAACTTATGGCGACGCTCATTCAATTGTTTATCCTATTGAAAAACTTGTCACTTCAACGCTATCTTTTCTTTTTTAAATTCATCAAAATATATTTAAATCAAAGATTAATGTCACGACAATATCAGTAGAATTTGATTGATTAATTCTTAAAATATTTTTTTCGTAGCACTTGCAAAACTAAAGTCTTTGTATACAACATTTGCTTTTGTCTTTTTGACAGTACAAATACAAGTGTTAAACTTCTTGACTTATTTCTAAACTAAAAACTGCTCAAGGCACTATCGAAGGACAACCATTGTATTAGCAAAACGTTTTATCTTTTTATTTTGATTGTTTTCCTAGTCAACTAAAAAATTCCTAGCTATGAACTTCCTTGACTTGATTAATCTTTTTTTTTCTTCTGTAGTTTCCCTTGGCAATATCCGGTAACTAACGTATTTATTATTATTATAGAACTCCTTCGTTCTCTTCCTTTTATTCTTTAACCAGTTATTATTATTAAATAGAATTTTTCCTATAGGAGTCTTCTTCATTAATCATGAAGAAAAAAAAAAACTTTCTATTCAATATTCTAATGAATAACGGATGTATTTAGATCTATCTAATGATATATAAACTATCCTATATGAAATGATCTCTATGGAGTACATCGAAAGCAACAGTCAGTTTAATGATCTCGAAATGTCAATGATATGATCGAAACAGATATATTTGTTTTTTATCTGTAAAAAAAATCATTCGAAAAAGAAAAAGAATACAATATACACGTCTTAAATTATATTCGGTAAGAACAAACGACATATAAAGATGATTAATAAAATTTAAAAAATCGTTCTCTCTTTTGTTTCATCTATTTTTACATTTTATCTAATAATTGGCAGTAATTATATTGTATTCGCTCGGGTAATTCCTTTGCTAGATTTTCTATACATATTTTATGCTAAATCGAAGCCGTACACGTTTCTTCTTGGAAATTAATCAAAACAACTTACATCAGAGAGTACATTCAAAATGAGAAACATACAAATGAATGCAACGTTATTATTAAACTACTTTTATTTTGCAGTTATGCAGTGCATTTTGAGTATTTCACGCATGCTAATCAGCCACTGACTCGTTGGTCTTATTAAACCGAGCACGTTTTGTTTTATTCCCCTCGGTGAAAGAGAATCATGGACGTGAATATCTGTTTAGAGTCAACATCATTAAGCAAGCTTTCGGTTTTATTTTTCGGATTGAATAGTTTATTATCTCTAATAGGAACGACTGATTTGAATAATAATAATCAGATCTTAATGGGGAACAGGTAAAAATTGAACACTCAAAATCCTGAATCTTCGTCAGTTGTATTCATACAGTGAACGTAAATATCATGAAACCTAATGAAATACACAAGGCTATGTTTTTTCCGTTGCTTGCTCAAATATAGAGCTACCGATGTTTATTTCTTGGCCTAGGTTTTCTTCTCTTTTTTTTTATATTATTCATTCGCATTTTTTTCCTGCAATTGTTCTTTTTCTTGTATAGAGTATGTAAGACAGGAAACAGAGGAGTTGAAAGAAGAAAAATTCAGGGAAAATATGAATATGATCAACGATAGAAAGAAAAATGCCAATGAAGTCATCAATGAATTAGAACATATCTCAGGTATTAAATTTAATAATATCATTATTTCTCAAGTTACAATACAAATAATATACTCAATACATTATTCGATTGAAATTATTGGTATTTATGTTTTCTTTTTTTTACTTCTTCTCGTTTCATAAAAACATAAGACGATTTATGGAAAAACATTCATAAGCAATTTGTTTTTCATGATATAAGTTGTATATTTGGTTGACAACTATAAAAAAAAAAATGTTCCTAAGCAAACATTAATCAATCCAAATTGCATTTTTTTTGGCATAAATGAGAATGTAGGAAAAAGAAAGACAAACTTATTGACTTTGCCAAAGAAAAAAGTACTAGAGAAGACAGAAAAAAAGTGTAAGTAGAAAATTTTAGTGCAATAATTTTTCTTCTTTTCTTTGTACGCTTAGTATCAGATTCTAGCTGACGCTAATAATAACAATAATAATAGTAACAATGAAGTAGCAACATTTGATTGATCTCGACTCAGGAGATTGCTAATAACAATCATGGATTAATTTGTGGTGAAATATGTGTTCTTTTCCTCTATCAATCATGAGAGCCTTTTCTCTAAATCTTTTCCCTTATTTTTTCTCTTGCAACATTTGACATTTGATCAACGACAACACATAGAACCATCAACACTGTTTCCTCACTGCTCTTGCCTTCTTCTTTTTCTCTTCTGACCTAAATAACATTCTTTTTTCTCGAGCTTGCGTTCGGCCTCACAACAGAATGTAACGGAAAGAGCCGCACAATTCTGTGTAGTACGAATGCATTACGCGACGGAGAAGATTTGCCACTGACAAGAAAAAAAAATTGAAGGAGAATGAATGAAAGAAGACGAAGAAGAAAGAAAATCATGTGGCTGGGTGGCTGGGTGGCTGCCTTGCCGACTAATAATCGTTAGTAACAGTTGTGTTTAGTTTCAGCAAGATTCTTTTTCTTGTTGCTTACATGTGTATGTTATGTATCTATAAAAAATCGACAATAAAAAGAATTCTTTTATTTGTCATTCATTTACATTTTATTATTTTCAGATTTATATATATATATATATTTGTTCATTTTTCAATCATTCTTTACTGCCATCTAGACGTAGAAAAGGTCATATGGCTTTAACATATGAAAAAATAAGAATCACTTAAGTAAGTTATTTGATTTCATACTTTTTTTTATAGATCCCAATAAAACCTGAAATGAAATTAAAAGGCAAAAAACTATAGACGAGAGAGGAAAACAATGGAATGTAATAAATCTATTGATTTTCTATTGACAGCAACATTCTCTTTTTTTAAATAACCTTAGGCAGTAATAATTTATCATGATTATCTATACATTTTTCTTTTGTCGTGATCAAATTATTATTCATAATAACCTATTGATATTTATTTTCTAAACCAAGTATGTAATGTCATGTTATCATCATTTGCTACTGCTACATCGTCATCGTCATCATCTTCTCCATATGAATCATCACCTGCTTGGTGGAAATTTAATTTTATAACAACATCGTGTGCAACATTAGCAACTTCATTTTTACCATCAACTGCTCCTTTAGCACAAAATACATCATTATCAGGCACGTCATCTGCCGTAGTGGAGAATCGAACGAATCATATCGATCGTTATTATCAATGTGAGTAATTGTTATATGACTATTTATATGCATACCGGCAGACATATGCATACATAGATGTGTAGGGTGTAAATTTCGAATTCCATTCGATAGAAAAAGAAAAAAGAAGAACGAATAACAGAATCAACAACATAAACGAACAAATAAAATGTTTTTTTTTCTTCTTTCATGCATTTGAGAGTCAGATATTAAATTAATGGTAACTAATGGAGGTATAATAATCCACTATAGAAAACAGGAAAAACGAAAACCAGTTTTCTTTTTATATTCTGTTAACTTTTCCTTTTTTTTCGTATAGCTTTTTCCAATGGTTTTAACCATGATAATGATGATTCATTACGAATATTATTATTTGCGGAAAGTTTTCCATCATTTACAAGTGGTATAACGCGTCGTTTCAAAGAAATTATACGACGTCTAGCGAAAAGAAAACATTATATACATGTCATAACGGGTTGTAAAGTATGTGGAAAATATTTTGCTTCTTATTAAATATTTTAGAAGATTTTAATTTCTCTTTTTACATTCATAGAATGCTAGTTTATGGCTTGAAGGACATGATTATTTGCAAGAATATGTAACATTTTCAATATTACCATCAACTGATTTTACTAATAAAATAGACTGTGCATGCCCATTTTTATTTCCAAATGTAACTACTGAAAAAGAAAAATTATAATAACACCCACGAAATATTTCCTTATGGAATTTCTTTCTTTTATTTAGACTGCTATTTATTTTTCAATACGACGTTTTTCACCAAATGTTATTCATATTGTTGAACAAACTCCAGCTGCTATGCTCTGTGGTGCATTTGCTAAATCATTGAATATCCCTATTGTTTGGTCTTCTCATACAAATATTGATTTTTATCTATCAACATATATACGTTCTTATGCCGTTAAAATGACACGTTCTATTTATCAATATATTCGTTTGAAACATTTAATTTATTCATCAATTAATTTAACAGTTAGTCAAGATTTTGCCGATTATATGGAACATACAGGTATACCTCGGCCAGTTTTAGTTTGGAAGACTGGTGTTGATTCTGAATTATTTAATCCTCGCCGACGTTCATCAGTCATGCGTTATCGTATGTTTGGCACATTAAATAATTTTACGCATGAACAAATGGATTCTATAACATTATTTCTTTGTGTTGGCCGAATATCACCAGAGAAAAATTTCGAATTTCTATCACTTATATTAGATCGTATACCAAGTGAAACATTTCTATGCATTATTGGTGATGGTCCATATCGTCATACACTTGAACCTTTGTTTCCAACGGATCGTGTTTATTTTTTTGGTTATCTTGGAGGAGAAGAATTGGCAAATGCTTATGCGAGTGCAGATTATTTTATATATGCGTCAGTTAGTGAAACATTCGGACAAGTCTATCTAGAAGCCATGGCTAGTGGAACACCGGTTATTGCTGCTGAAGGTGGACAATTAAAAGAATTTTTTATTAATAGTGAACACGGTTATTTATGGGAACCGGAAAATATTGAATCAGCCGAAAGAGCTGTACGTCTAGCAATGAAAAATCGTGACCATTTATCAGTTCAAACTCGGCAACAAGCACTGAAACATTCGTGGGACTCAGCTGCTGATCAATTAAATAATGTTTATTATGATGCTATTAAGAAAAATGGCAAACATAGTGAACCTAATAGTTTAATAGTTCTATTTCGTATATTTTATTATGGATTTCATTGGCTTGTATGTATTCTGCTGGCATTGTTTTTAATGGCACCATTTGTAAAAGTTTCATCACCTCTACCAGCTGCGACGCAGAACACTAGTTTTACTCGAAAGAAACAACAAATCCATTCGACAAAAAACTGTTTTCATCTTGATGATACATAGTCATATTGTTTTTTTCATGTTGCTGTCTCTCAGGATTAGGATAACATTCATTGAATAATAGATTTTTTTTTATTCTTCTTCTGTTGTCGTTGTTTGTTCTTGCTTTCTTTTCCCTTTTCTCCTATAACAGTAAATCTCATGTATCCCATTATCTCTTCTCTTGTGATACATCGTCTATTTTTGAGATAAATAGAACGAGAGGGAAAAAATTCATATACTTTCGACGTATTTTCTTTTCAATTGTTAACTGGAGATCTGCAATAGTTATTTGTTTGCTTCACATTATAATGCCTACGAACACAATTTTTTTTCTACACTCATCGTTCATGTGTATAATTGACGATAAAACAGAGTTTTCTTGTTTATTCACAATTACGAAAATTTTTGCTTTCTTTTTTTTGTAAACTATTTGCTCATACTACCTCTACTATATGAATGTTCGTTTGCGTCTTTAATGCATTCTTCGTTTTGACAAACACAGAAAATGAGAATCTGGATTTGTGTTTTTTTGAAAGATTCAAACTCTTCTTACTCATGAATAAAAAGAACAACAATGATTCACGATCGGTTAACTAATTTTTTTTGTTAGTAATCAAGTAAAAATTTTCCATTATGAGATAAAACGTAATAAATATTTTAATATTCAGTTACGACTAGTTCACAATACATGGTAGTACACGATGACATATTTCTTTTGGAATGATCTCATAGTTGTTGGTTAATATTTAATTTTTAGCAACAGTAAAAACATTTATTTGATTGAACAGTAATTATTTGTGGAAAAAATATATATATATATATTCAATGAAAAATACAGAAAAACATGTTCTCTATAGGAACAAAAGAAAATTAATTAAATATTTTAGTGATGCATTAGGGATGATAATCTCTCATAGGAATCAAGTAATAATTTTGTTACTTTCTATCAACCAACAAATATCATTTTAGCGATGACGAAAAACAAAAAACTTCAGATATTTCATATTGAAGCACTCTTGAAGTCATATAATTTTCTGCTGTTGTTTTTGATGCATACCAAGATACAAGTAAACCTTGATCTCCCGCTCGTTAACTTTTCATCGACTTGTTCATGCGCGCATAGTCATGAAATATTAGCGTATCTACACCTTTTAATAATTATATTTAGGTTAATTTGGCAAATGTTCTTTTGCGCTCCCACTTGTCCCTTGTCAATATCTACTTAGAAACACTTGAGATAGAATTGCACCATGGAAAACTATTACTGAGCAGCAAAACAATAGTCTTCATTGAAATGCATCTAGGGTAAGATGTTGTTGACTGATTAATAATAAATTTTTAGTTGAAGTATAGCTTGAAATTTATGAATCTATAGAGAAAGACTCTCAGAGTCACCATACTAAATAGAATTGATAGATAGTCACAAGATCAATTTGTCACGACATGGTTTACCAATTAGTTTTATGTTGACGATATCGAACGACCTTAGGGACAAAGAAAATAGTCGATATGGACCTTTGTTTTATGCTAAAAATATCATCTCCCATTGCTCGAAGCAGTCGATGAAATAAGCGCAAAAGTTAATCATGATATCACACAGTATTTACGAACATTGCCATTTTCTCGTAGAATCCCGGGCATGTCTATTGACTGAGACTAGCAATTATCAAAAATATTAGCTCAAAATGATAAGTATTAATATCACTACTGAATATAAAGAAGAAGAGGTGTTGGTTTAGTTAATCTCTAGACAAACCCAAGGGTATATCTTCTACTATTTTACAAAAGAACGCTATCGGTGTTTGTCTAAAACTTGAATTCATTGGTGATTTTTGTGGAAGAAAAGTAAGATAGAGTTTTTAAATCAGAATTCACTAGAGTATTTAGTTTTGAGAAAAAATGAAATCACATTCTAAACGGAAATGAAAATTTGAAAATATTTTTGTTAAATATATAATTTTCACTTACGTATATGAACTATTATGTGCGTATATATTATTTACTTAAAAATTCTAGGACAAATTAGATGTTCCTAATAAATATCGATACCTAGTTTAAGCATTATCAGAGAGCAACAAATACGTTTACACACATTCCATGAAGCATCTGTCATACGATAAAACATAATGACATTTGTGTTCTAATATGACGTCGAGACATGTTATGTTTAGATATTGAGTACAAGTACTAAACAGCTGTTCATAGATTCTTAACATTCGCCTGATTCAAAGTACCTAAATTTTAAGAATGATTTTTGGCTTTACATAACTATCTCATATGCCCATGTTCTTTACAAAAGTCCATTGTTTTAATCTTTGATTAAAACCTACGATTACTCTATTTCTTTCCATGTGCCGTTTAAAGAAATCTTTGCATAATTTAAAACAATAATCAGCCAAATCGACCGGATATTACTCAAGTATAATTATACTGCCACCAACTGAGACGAAAATGTACACTGTAGGTAACAAATTATCCTATTTGATCGCTTAGTATTGTATACCTACTTAAATAATAATTATGTTGACATTTTCTAATTTTTCAACAATTCATTAGAATATTCTTGAAAGTATATTTTATTCAAATGAATAACAATATTTATTATTGCCATATGTACATTATTCGAATGTCGTCTTGTCAACCTGCTGCTTTTCATTCACCATTATCATAATCAAATCAGAGTACAAACACATGTGTTTGCCATGTACATATCTGTTCTTTTTGCCTAGATTGAGCTCTCAACAAATGTTGATTATGTTATGCCAAACTCATTAAAAAAAAGAAAGAACGAATGTATGTCTATATTATATATTCTCTAACCATCAACATTTGCCCCTCAGGCATTGTGACCATCGCCATTAGTTGGTAAGCAAGCACTTTAACATCGCTTCACCTGTTCTTCCGTTGAAGAAAAATAAATATATACATATATAAATGACTAATCGAGAGTCCATATTGAACAATCATTTCTACAGAAAGCTCGGATTCTTGCATGATTAACTCACAAATGCCATTAGGCGTGATAACAAGCAGACAAAATGCAAAGAATTTTCTTTTTTTAACCAACGACAAATAATTTATGTAGAAATTTTTTTTGCACACATAAAGAAATCATTGAAAGCAAAAAATATATATAGACATTCAAACACGAAACAACGAATCTACTCACAAATGCACGCACAGAAACATGTAAAAAAAAACGACGAAAGAAAAGCAAAAACGAGAAAAAGTATACAACTCGACTGTTACTCGCCCCAACAATAGAGGACAAAAAAAAGGCTTCATCTCGTTTTAGTTAATATCTGACAGTGAAACTTCATTTACAGTAATGTTTTTCAACTCGTTTAATGCATCTCTTACAACGTACTTCGCAACACCAATGAAATTGGCACTCACAATCTTCTTCAATTGTACGTATGATGGTTTCATAACCACGATCGCAACATAATACTGAACAAGAACCAGGTTCATTCATAGTTAGATTGCATTCACGTCCTTGAGTGCCTAGTGAGCCGAGACGAAGGTTTTTCTCGCAAAACGATGGCGAATTATGAATATAAATAAGATCCGTCGTATTAAATAACTTCATTGAAGTTTTACGCGGTTTAAGCAAACTCAATCGACGATTAAGTCGTACTTGTGTTGCACTTGCATATTTCGTACGTAATTCTGAGCCAATAAGGCGAAAATCGGGTAGTGTTCGCCAACAAACACGTAACGTACATGAACCACTAACACCGTGACATTTACACGTCAACTGAACGTTTCGTTCAACAGCCTAGAAAAGAAAATAGGATCTCTTTTTTTTGTCCATTCAACAAAAAAAGAAGAAGGAAATTTTTAATCGTACCTGTCTACCAGCTTCGTTATTATGTAAATTCACTAAACGTACAATACGACGTCGACTCATATACGATTCTTGTTCGTCAATAAACGATACACTAACATTTCGACCAAATTTCAAATCATCTGAACAACCACCCCATTCGAAACCGTCATTTGTTTGTGGCATAGGTGTAGATGCAAATAATGAAATACTCATTGATGGTGTTGAGCTTATCGGATATTTTAACATAGCTCGTGTACGCATTAATGATGCTGATGGTGAAAACGATGGTTGTTGACTTTTATCACAACCACATTCGGTTAGTTCACCTTTTGCACAAGCTTTTGCAATACTATGCATAACCGAAGCCGATGTGAGCGCATAGATGAAAGCTGTTTCTGGTGTTTCTAGAAGCAAAACAAAATAAAAATCATCGTGAGAAAGTGAAAGGTGACACTTGACGGCGTCAGTTTAATTGTCCTTCGTGCTTGATTACATCCAATTATAATAGAACAAGAGAGAGCTTATTTTTCCTTAGGTGGTCTCGTTATTCTTTTCTTCGATATACAATAATATGTTTTAATGATTGGCATATTGTTGATAGAAGCCCAATAAAAAGATCATGATTATTATTTATACATGTTATGAAACTTACTTCGTAAAACGAGTTTTCCAAAAACATCAGATTGATTAAATATTGAACAATTCCAACGTTGATTACGAAATTGATATTGACATTCTTCAATAGCTTGTCGCAATGAACGACTTATAATAGAGAATATCTTTGGATTTGTTTGACAATAGTAACGTTGATCAGCAGTTAAAAATGTTAACGAAGAACAAAATGGTTCTTGGTTTTTTTGTGTCGATGACCATGATTGAAACGAAGGTAAACCAAGAGACCTATAATAAGACACGCAAAGATAGACATCATACCTTTAAGGGTATAATTATGTTTAAAAATATAGAAGAAAAATGATTCTAATGTTTTATAAATCTCCTATCCAATATAAAATCTTTCTTGTGTTTGTTTTTCTAATCAGTTAAGATCTACTAAGTAAAAAAGAAAGAAAAAGATTAAATTATTTACCACCAAAACGCTGCAGTTGTTTGAATAATAATAAGAAGAATAATAAGTATAAGATATTGATGTTGCAGCAGATACATATTTTCGGACGGCCTGTATAAGTGATTATATTTGAGTTATAAGGATAAGTATGTTTATATATACGTATATGTTTAAGAGAACACAACGGGAATAGAGACGAGACAAATTGACGCTTTACTACTATTACGATTACTCTCGTCTTGCGTATATCGCTGTCGACAATACAATAATAATGACAGACAGACTTGTGTGCAGTGTTTATGTATGTATGTATCGATCAAAACTGTAGTGTGACGACAGAAGGAGGAGAAAACGAAGAAGAAGAAGAAGAAGAAGCGAACATTTCTCTCTCTCTCTCTCCTTTTCTACCCTTTACGAAAAGAGAGAGGAAGCCAGTGTATGGACAGATATTTTCTCTCTTGTACGACGAAAAGAGAAAGAATAAAAGGAGAAAGAGAGAGAGAGAGAGAGTGCAAGGTGAAAGTGATATAGCCTCAATTAGAGGTATGAATGTGTGGTATTTCGATAAAGAGAAATTGTTGATTGCCTTTTTAAGAAATTTAGTTTTTGTAATGAGGTAGTCAACAGTAAAAATTACCAAGGAAATGCAATGATGGAGTGAACATCCGGCACGCAATAGTACTGCAATACGCAAGTTTTCACTAAATAGTTAAAGCACTTGAAACTGTTTGCTTACTGATCGCATATTCATATTTCCGATTCTTTCTATTTCTTCAGTCGAAATTCACTGAACTGTCAAGAGCGACTGAAGGAGATTGGAACGAGAATGGAATGAATATTGGTAATAACTATAAATGCAAAAAAAAAGTAAAAACTTGAATTAATGATTTTTTCATGAATGCAGAAGAAAAAAGACCTCAAGAAAGTTCTATTTATTTTACTTTCAATCATGTTGAATTGTTCATTGAACAGCTTTAGTCTTTTTCGTTTGATCGATACCCGAACTATCTTGTTAATAGTCATCCTCGATGAGCATCCCTCACGTCTGTACGTATGTCATCAAAGCTAAAGGATTGAAATAAAGAGTCTCATGCTGTCGAGCTATTAAATTGCTCTATTGGATGAAGCATATTATGTCAAAATTATATGTGCAATGACCACATATATACAAGCATGCCTGCTCAATATCACCATAATCATCATCATCATCACCATGATGCGTCTGTCCTCTTTGTTTAGTTTTCATCAGTAAGTCTTTGAAAATTTTAACAACTGTCTTATTTGCACTGAATAGTATGTTAGATCATCATTTAATGTGATTTTTTTGTCGCCAAACAATACAAACAGGACATCGAGATGTTGTTAATATATTCATATATGGAGGCTGTATAATGTTCATATTATAAGCAGTAAAATATGCGTATAAAATGAGAAGAACACAAAAAAAAATAACTGAACGACCAAGGCGTGAATAAAGCCTTTTGAGGACAATTTTACGCGCTTCTACCAGCTTGAAATAGAAACGAAAAAAACCTATTGTTTTTTCTATCACCGTAATTCTATTCATCAATCAATAAGGGTGTGAAAAGATTAGTTAGAAGATGAACGTCAAATATTTTCGTGTTAATTCCACCAAAATTGATCAATATCATACGTAATCGGCTTTATACGTAACTGTTTAATTTAATTATCATAACATCATGATTTCAATGTGTATGTTATTGTTATTATTATTATTATTATTGTTAGATGAAAAAAAAATGTAAAGAACAAAAGAATTGTTTAATGCAAAACTTGAATGATGAGAGGTGGAATATTGAACTTGTTGATGAAGGTCTATTTAACTTAGATTTTCGTTTGTTTCTATTCTTAAATTATTCAAAGGAGAATTCGATTCGATTCGATTTATTTATGTGCATTGATCATAAATTGTTTTTTGATTTAATTCACGCTTTTTCTTCTTCATGTGTGGTACTTGTGTAATGATTAAATAATCCGATGCAAACGCAATGAGTTCTACCATTTAATTCAGTGGGATGTTAACAAAAGAAGAAAAAGTGCAAAACGACACGAAAGAATGAAAGTAGAAATATGGATCAATGATAGAGTTCTTATATTGATAAGAAGAAAAAAACATATAGAATGCAAAGGACGATTAAATTAAATGGTTCAATCGAAGATCGATATGATTATTATTTGATTTTTTATTTTACGAAAACATACATTGATATTAATGTGTCTTATAATCGAAAAATATCGATCGATCGTCTTGGTCGCGTGCAATATATAATTGATAGGCAGACTGATCATTCTCCTAGTGTTGATAACGCTTAATTATATACATTTATATAAAACAACCTGCATTCATATATTGTGTATTGAAAAAAATTCGTATATTCGATTTTACCTCTCAAGATTTTGATATTGCTAGTGTCATTATAGCAACATTAAATTGATTAGATATTTGTATATGAGAACCATATCGATGCATATTTCGGCAAAAAAATGATCATTTAAATCAAAGGATTTTCCTCCAGCGAATAGCGTCATCTTTTTTGTTTCTCCGAAAATTCTTACCATACGATTGACTTTCTTATTTTCTACTTGATATGTGTCATGAATTTCATAATAATTTGTAATTATTTAAATATCGCGAAATTTTCTCTTTCAATTTATTATTTGAAAATAGTTTATGACTATGAAAAAAAGCATGCTAGTGTCAGCCAAAGACAATGTCGTACTGCTAGAAGAGACGAAAAAGAACATAGTTTAAAATTTCGTCAATCAAACAAGCTTAGACAAATCCATGGATTATACAGTTTGATAAAACATGTGAGTATAATATAAATAAAAGTCAGCTTTAACATTTAAGCAAAATAAATGGATCTCGTAAAATAATCATAGGAAAAATAATTATTTATTTTAGATTGAGAAAGACAACAATGAATTCTGATCATCGAGTTATTGCATTAATTGATATGGATTGTTTTTATGTTCAAGTTGAACAAAGACTCCAACCTGAATTTCTTGGTAAACCATGTGGTGTTGCACAATACTATACATGGAAAGGGGGCGGGTGTGTGCTATTCGTTTTATTTTTATGTTTTTGAGTAAGTTAAAAAATTACGCTTTTCTTTTATGGATTTAGTCTTATTGCGGTAAATTACGAAGCTCGAGATTTTGGTGTGAAACGAGGTAATTGAGAGTTTTGATATGAATAATCGAACTGTGCATCTGATGTAGGAATGCGAGGTGAACAAGCAAAAGAACTTTGTCCAGATTTTCATGTATTTCATGTGCAAGAAGTTAATGGAAAAGCCAATTTAACAAGGTAGAAATATTTTTTTGTTTGTCTAAGAAATTATTTTCGAACTAAGGAGAAAATGAACTAAAAAACATTAGAAGAACTCGATCTAAAATCCATTCTGTCATTGATTAATCTTATGATAGAAATCGCCGAGGATATCAATTACAAGTGAGTGTATCTAATGTGCATATCTTGGGTAAGATGACAAGCTTCAATTGAAATTCGCAAGCTCAAAATATCGATCTAATTGTTTTATTAACTACTTGTTCGTCATGCTTCATTTTACGATTATCAAACAAAAGTAGAAGATTGTAAACTATTGAAGTTATTAAACTATCGCTGACTTCTCTACCGTATCAATTAAAGAGTGGACGAATTTTGAAAACATGAATTGATTGACACTATACGAATATAAAGTAATTAGAAGGAACTCATATATGATAAAATGAATGGAAACGAAAGAAACCATAGGATTCAAATTTCACATAAATATGCATCCGAAAACAACTTTTATTTTTCTTGTGGATAATTTTCTTTTTCATTGGCTTCGATTGATAATTCTATTTTTCTCATTTAAAGATATCGAGATGCAAGTGCTGATGTGTTTCGTGTGCTTAATGGAAATTTTAAACTTGTTGAAAAAGCCAGTATTGATGAAGCTTATGTTGATTTAACTGATGATGTTCAAAAATTAAAAGATGAAAATTTTCCATTAACAATCAATGATTTTTCAACAACGCATTTAGCTGGCTTTACAACTAAAACTGAAGATGAACGAATAGAAATTCTTGGTAAATGGTTGAAAGATTGTCAATTAGATGATGAACAACGAAATCTTGATCTTGTATTTGGTGCTTATCTGGTTGAACGAATACGAAAGAAAATAAAAGATGAAACAGGATTCTTCTGTTCCGCTGGTATTGCTCGAAATAAAGTAGAAAAAAAACAAAAACGTTTTTCCTCTTTCTAGTTACAAATTATTTTTTTTTAGATTTTAGCTAAATTATGTTGTGGATTTAATAAACCAAAAAAACAAACAGTGATCAATCAGACAGATGTTGATCATGTATTTGATCAAACACCAGTACAAAAAATGTAAAAAAACAAACTTTTTAAATAGAAGAGCATTTTCTTTTTCGTACAGTCAAGGGTTGGGCGCTAAAGCCGGTGATCGTGTTATGGAATTATTTCAAGTTGAATATGTGGGTCAACTAAGAAAATATACGCTTGATGTTCTTCAAGCATCCATCGGTGAAAAAGATGGCTATTGGCTGTATAATTTAGTTCGGGGCATTGAAACAGCACCGGTTAATAGCAGAAATTTATATAAATCAATATCTGCAAGTAAAAATTTTCCTGGAAAATCATCGTTAGATACTCTTGACAAAGTAACACATCGATTGATTAAATTCGACTCGAATAATTGAATCAATTCATTTTTCTATTTAGATTCGCACTTGGTGTCATAATTTAGCTGAAGAAGTTTTCAATCGCTTAGAAAAAGATCGAGCAGAGGTAAATAGAAATTTACTTTGAAGAATAATTCGCATAGTTTACGAGCGCGATCACAGCGTACCAAGAGTAACATGTTCATCGGTGAAAACAAGATGAATATCGATGAAATTTCATGGTACATTACTGTGGAATTTTCGCGATCTCAACTCTTGACCATCGAGTTTTCATCAATAAACACGTAGATTATTGTGCTAGACGATGCGAGATTAACTCTAAAGGAACTATAAACCGAAACTAATATTGTGTAGTAGTAGTATCAATCAAATCGTCTAGCAATAGCCTTGATAAATAGAACAGCATAGTTAGATAAAAATTCCAACCACTTTTCTTTTTGTTTTTATAATAATTCTATTCGACACTAAGGTTAACTGTTACTTTGGAAAAATATTCACACATCCCTCTACGGCAGATTTCTTTTTCGAGTATATAACTGATATGGACTAAATTTGTATTCTAGAATAAACGTCGTGCTAAACTTCTAACAGTCACATGTACATTAAATACAAATGAAACAATAGCTCGTTCGTGTCCCATCAATGAATATTCTATTGATCGATTTGCTAATGATACCTTTCGAATATTAAAGCAATTCAATAAAAGTCCTGCATCATCAAATATTTACACACCAGCTATTATTAGTTTTGGTATCGGCGCAGGAAAGTTTCTTGAAAATGCCAATACAAAATCTATTGTTGATCTATTTTCAAAACAAACAACTAAAACTGAAACAATAAAACCAACAGAAAATACAACTCGTTGCCAAGAATATGAAGATTACGATGATGATGATGATGATGGTAGTAATAGTGAAGATAAAATTCTACAAAAATCAACAGTAACAGTACCAATACAGGGCGATTTTTTTCGAAAATTTCAAAAAACCGATGAACAAATAAAACCTCGACCAAAATCTGAAACGAAAACTACATCATCAATAGTATCGTTTTTTTCTCGTTATGCAAGCAATGAAAATATTCCAATTTGTTCACCTGAAAAATCCAGTGAACACTGTACCACATGTTCAAAATGTCAGAAATCTATTCTCGTATGGAATATGCCGGAACATGAAGATTTTCATTATGCACATGAATTACAAATGGAAGAAAATAGAAGTAATTCAATGATAGCACCACCACCACCACCACCAGCAACAACAAAAATATCAAAACCTGTAAAACGTAAAAATGAAAAACAAAAATCTAATATTCAAACACTTGATTCATTTGTAAACAAAAAACCGAAAACTGAATAGTATCTGTGTTTATAATTATATCGATGCATATATCCAATGTCGAAAAATACTGTATAGGTCATAAACATATTCTTTTCTTTTTCTAGATTTTCTACAAATCTATGCATCGAATAGTATTTACTCATTATTTTTATAATTTTTATCATGTCTACGTCAATTTTGGAATTACCCGATGATATTTTAGTACTGATTTTTTGTCGATACATATCTGAAAAAGAGCTGTGTCGATTAGATCGAGTCTGTCGAAGATTTCACAATCTACTCTGTAGTGATAATCTGCCATGGAAAACAGCACTTGCTAAATTAACAAATGTGTCATATTCAAAACTGAAAAATGAAGCTGGATGTCCCATGATTCAGGTAGGAGATATTTATTTGTACGCTTATGGTAGAGACACTCATATTAGAAGCACTAGGATGGAAACCGAGAACTTCTGAATTAAATATCATACTTCAAGATCTTGTAAAAAGTCAAATTGATACAGCATTACATAAATCTGTATGGACTCTTTCAAACTTACCTAATTAACTAAGTGTCATGCTGACATCGATATATCGGTTAGCAAGTTTTCTTGATGAAAATCGAACCATCTTTGTTTTCTAAACATAGACTATTTTCCACCAAATACGACTAGCAATACACTAGAAAAACAACGTTGTTAATTACATCTCTGCATGAAGAAAATGTGAAAAACGCTGCAACTGTTGTTCTTAATGATATGAAGTGTGTTTGTTTTTTCACAAACTATTCAGGGACATATTTATTTATGGTCCTTTTACGTAATCCTTTAAGAATGCAGCAACAAACAAATAGTTCATGTATTACAACGAAATCTTATTGATACGCAGCATTTAATCGTACATCAATAGTGTCTGTGACGATTTTTAGCACAGAGGGAGATTATTGTTAAGGTCTCTATTATAAATATCATTGTGTTCGAAGTTTCCAAGGCAATGCCTATCGCCTCCTATGGGCTTGTGAATTTCTACTCTATTTAACTGAGCATTTGTTTTCATAAAAAAATCGTTGTTCTATTTAGAACTCTCGTCATCCATCCACAATCTTATCGCATTTATTTCATCTTCCAGCCAATTATTACTATAAAGTTTTATTCAATCCTGCTCGTGAATCTCCCCGTTTACTTCAAAACGATCAACGTCCTCCATTGAAACCGCGAGATCGTTGTTCCGAACTCGGTTGTGACATAAATTCCACAATCAACAATGATCACTATCTATTATCATTAGCTTATCGTTGGAATAAAGATAAAGCTTATAAAAATCATACATTAGTTAAATTTATTTCTCGAGCTCAAACATCATTATTACAATACGATGAACATAAACATCAACTTTGGTTTACGTGCAAAAATGATTTATGTTGTTTAAATCTACGTACAAATCAAATAGATCATTCCTACGAATTCTACGATGATGATGTACTTTGCTATAAAGTTTATAATGATCATCTGATTTGTTTAGCTAATGGAAGCCAATTAAAAATTATATATAGAAAAACCAATAATATTCATTTATGTGATAAACCGCAAAATGCAGGATTATTATCCGGTGAACGTAACGATATACTTTCGTTAGATATTTATTCAAATGATCTCGACAGATATTTAATATTAAATGGTTCGCGTGACCATACAGTTTCACGTAAGTGGAAAAAAAGAATATTTCAGAATATTGTGTTTTTTACAATTATTCGATTTTTCAGTAAGAACATTTGATATGTCAACAGAAAACAATCAACTTATATGGCGAACACGAGTTGATGATCGTGTTCTATGTAGTCGTTTTACAAGTGATGGGCAATATTTTCTTATTGGTACCGGTGGAACATCAAGTAATTATCCATTAGTACTATTCAATTCAGAACGATCGCAGCCTATACATGTATGTTTATTTCTTGAATAACATAAGAAATAGAAGAGTTTTGTTTGCATTTAGCTTTACAATGCTCAATATCGTATTGGTGCTGGTGTTCGTTGTATTGAATGGGCAACTTCAAATGTATTTATTGCTGCTGGTTTTGACAATCAATTTAAAGAATTTGATCTACGCACAGGACAATGCCATTATACATTCTATGATGAATTCGGCAATGACTATTGTTCATTAGCCGTATCAGTTGACTATAATAATACATCAAATGGAATACTTCTTGGCGGAAATCATCATTCAACAGTTCGACTGGTTAATCGAAAACAACGCCAATTGCAAAAAGTATTTTTTGTCTCCAAAGAACATAGTCCAGTACATAGTTTAGCTGTGACATCGGAATATTTATTTGCATCGGTTGATCGATCAATTGTTGCATTAGATTTTACAAATTGTAATCCACCGTTTGGAAACAAAATGCGCAAACTTTGATAAATAATTTTATGACTATGAACATTTATTTTTTTTTCTCAGCTAATCGTTTTTTGTTCCTTACTACGGAAATATAATAAACGTGAAATGTTTTTGATAAATAATCAGTCATAACCTGTAATTTTGTCAAACAATGCATGCTACCAATTTATCTTTGGATTTGCTCGTAGAATATGAAAATCAAATGTTGATATTTTGTAGTATTAGTTTTGATGGACCTCTCGACATGGAGCGCGCATTCAACGGTCTCAATGTAGCCATTTAGTACATGCCTTCATTACATATCCTATACAACGACACCTAACCCATAGTTATATATTTTATCTACTATGCATTTGTTTGTTTTTCAGGATTAATTATATTTTTGATTGTGAACGCTTTATTGAAACTAAGCAGTATACCGGATATTATTTAGACGAAATTCGCTTTTCTTCATACTTAAAATGCCAATAATCAAAGAAAAAATAGGAAGCTTATTTTCTGAAGACTAGTTTAGATTCTCTGAAAATTGTCATATTTTATATATTACGTAAAAAAAAGATGTTGATCATTTAACCAATACCAAATGTCTTGAAGTCAATGAAATGCCGGTTTCAATCTATCTATCAGTATTCGAAGAATCTCATGTCTACTCTCCTTTGAATCTATTTCGACAGAATGTTCCTTGCTATTCTTTTCTCAGGAAACACATTGGAAGATAGATCCTCCTGAATAAAATCCTAGTATCGAATGTTTCATTTCTTTTCGAATTTTATTCAGTAAGAGATTCTTCAGTAGAAGAAATGATTTCATACTTTGTTCTTCAAAAATCATTCTAATAAAAAATATTGTTCTACAATATTTATTTTCTTGATGATGATGATAATGCGCCTTTATTAACGTGTGTGAGAATGTAGAGAAAAGTATCATTAATAGACTTTCTTCGGTTGATATTATTCTTTTATCTTTTTTCTTTTTTGTTTCCATAGAATATAACAAAACACACGAGCCCGATGTGTTCAAAACAATAATAATAATAACATAAAAAACTAAAAGAATGACATATATTCGACATTTTTTTGTTATCATTATTTTGTAATTGGGCTGTGAGATATCGGTTTTAACGATTTGATTTGGCTACACGTTCAAGTTCATCTTTACGTTTGATGGCAAATGATGTTGATGAACCCTGAAGAAGAAGAAAAAAGCATAGATATTAAATTATAATTTATATAAATAAAAATATATTGTTGAAGAATCCTATCAAACAATAGTTCTAAGAATTATCATTTACAACATAGGAAAACTCCAAGTTTTTATTTTGCACACGTCGACGTTCAAAACCACATTAATTATATGGTGGTATGACTTCTAATTGTATGCCTGTTATGATTCTTTGGTTTGTATGAATCATTCAGTGACGTACAGCGAGTTGAAACGATCACATAACGGAGTAAAAGATAACCTTACGTGGGAGTCGAACCCACACCTTCCGTTATCCGGGCAAAAGTCCTAAGCCAGTTAGACTAGAAGTGACGTCTTATTTAGAGAGTGGAACAGTCTGGACATAGCAGTCTCTCCATTTCTAAATGTACGTACTTTAGCAGCGTTGATAAGTTCATCGGCAAGGCATTCAGCAATTGTTTTTACCGATTTGAATGCAGAGTCACGAGCACCTTAAATATGAAGAAAAACAATGTTATTATTTTTTTCATTAATCATTTGATTTAAATTTTTGTTTTATACCTGTGCAGAGTAAATAAAGTGCTTGATTAACACGTCTTAATGGTGACACATCGACAGCTTGTCGTCGAACAGTACCCGCACGACCAATACGTGTTGAATCTTCACGTGGTCCACTGTTAATAATGGCATTAACGAGTACTTGAAGTGGATTCTAAATGGAATAATAATTCTAAATTGATAAGATTCTCTTTGTTTTTATTATTCGTTATTACTTCGCCTGTAAGTAAATGAATGATTTCAAATGTATGTCGTACAATGCGAACAGCCATTAATTTCTTGCCATTGTTACGTCCATGAAACATGAGTGAACATACAAGACGTTCAACAATGGGACATGAAACTTTACGGAAACGTTTTACTTGATAACGACCAGCTGAATGTGGAATAAATTTCGGTTTTTTGGCACCAAGAATATAATCCTATTGATAAATTTATGTAGAATAGAGTAATTAAATTGAATTAACTTTACTTCAAGTGACATATCCGAAATCTGTACGTCAACACCGCTCCACTTTCCGAATACTCGAATATCGGTTGCTGTTGTTTCCAACGTTGTATCATCGGTTGACATTAAATCAGTCATGATGGTAGATTTTTTCTCTTTTCACACACAAGAAAAGGAGATCGAAAAAATGGACCTAAAATTTCAAAAATTAGAAATTAAATATTATCCAAAATAATTTTTTTGTAATAATATAATGAATGTGGTTCGTTGTTTTCTTTTTTTCTATATTATAAAATGTAAAATGCTCTCCGCAGCCATATTCAGTTACATGTTTAAAAGTCCTCATATTCGTTCGTTTGATTTTTCCGATTGGATAAACGAAACTATCGCAATGGTTGGTCCATGCGAGCGTCCATAGAATATTGCGTCTAATGAGTTGTGGATAGCGGATGTCAGAACAGGACGAGGAAGTAAGAAATAAAAAAAAAAGAATGAATAAAGCAAAGAGATTATCAAAATAATGTACTTCCTGTATTTATATTAATCAATTACTTAACATGCAACGCAAAAGTCTTTGCTATAACGCTAAACACTGTTAGGCCATGTTGGAGATTTCTAAATTCAGCTGACTTTTTTCTAGTTGGAAAGAGCAGCATTTGAACTTCAAATTTTGCACCAAACATATTTTTCTATGACGAATCTGGCAATGAGGAAAAGTGAAAAACTAAACGCATGAAAAAAGCTCTTGCAACCTGGCAAAATCGGTATTTTAGAAATATCTTAGACTACATGAGTAGAATTTTAACAAAGCATACACCACACTCTAGAGTTTTAAAAACTCTATCGATACCAGCTTGTGGAAGATTTTTAGATTCATTCTTGAGTCGTTCATAAAAAACAATTGAAAAAAGACATTTTTGTAAAAAAACACTCGTTGAAAAAACTATCAATTTTCAAGAATATCTACCCGGAGCCATGTATGAACTCTATTTTTTCGCTTTATTTATGCGAAATATATCAGGCCTTTGAAAGTTGACAGCAAAAATAACTTAACAAATATATTTTGCAGTTTCAAAATGGTCACATTGTGAGAACGATCAAATTTGTCCGTCTCTCTCGAAAAAGCACTATTTCAGTAGAAAAACTAAAATTAAATTTAACTTTCAATACACCATTGGAAAGAACATCCTTTATGTTACAAAAATCATCACTGATCGTGATTTATTCATTCTCTTTTTCACTTTAAAAGAATCAAATAGAAACAGAAAATGATGCTGCACGATGGTGAAGTTGCAAGAACTTTTTTCATGCGTTTAGTTTTTGACATTTCCTCATTGCCAGATTCGTCATAGAAAAATATGTTTGGCACAAAATTTGAAGTTTAGATGCTGCTCTTTCCAACAAGAAAAAAGTCAGCTGAATTAGAAGCCTCCATCATGGTCTAACAGCGTTTGACATGATTGCAAAGACTTCTGCAGCGCATGCTATATAATTGATCTTGTCAGTTATTAAACTAAACAAAATAAAAATTCGTCTTTTGATCAATTGCAAGTTTTCTTTTTGTCTATTGCAAAAACAAAAGAATTAATAAGTAAATTAACACCATTCATTGGCCATCGACGCCATTCAGTCAGACTCGAAACATGATTTATTAAGAGACACCTCAATAAATATTGTACTTTACTGTTTCCTTTTTCTTATGACTTCTTCACACATGGAAGTGCTATTCGAACTAGGGTTTAATTGAATTAATAATGTCACTCTTCACATCATCGTCGATTAATTTCTCTTGGGATCGGAGGTGGCGGAAGAGAAGACTTTTATAAGCAGTGATGTGAAGCATAGATGCAATGCTGAGAAATTGCTTTTGCGTGCTACGCACTATAGTTTTATGGTTTGACTAAGGATTGAAGCAAGGAGAGAAGGAGAGAAGAATAAGCAATTATCGACGTTTGATGTAATCTTTGTATATCGCAAGTTGATCGTTCGCCTAATGCATGAAGACAAAGAGAAGCAACGGGACGAACGAATTGATTCGATCATCAATACAAATTTCTTTTTTTTTTGTGTTTTGTACATATGTATATATATATATATATATATTAAAGTAAAGTGCAGAGAGAAGATCACATAAAATTTATTCGCATTCATCAGACACACATTATAAATGTCTGCAGACCAGCACCATCGGCATTGCATTTCTCGAGGTAATAAAGTTCACATTAGCTTCATGCTCAAAATGACTCTATTCATCTTTTAGAATATATTGTCTTGATTCCATTGCAAAAAACTTCAACTATAAATAAAATTTCCATAGAAAGACGAGATATTGTTGATATAAAAGATAAAAATATTCTACATATTGGAGGTGGATCAAATGTTGATTTTATTATATATAAAAATTGTCCATTAAGTAAATTTTTGTTGTTGTCTTCATTGAACATGCTTTCAAATTTCTTTTACAAATTAGTGCAACAAGATAATGAACTAGCTCCGTGTTCTTCGGAATTTAAAGTTTTTATGATTGATAAACAAACAGAAAAATTACATCAAGAAAATCGAATATTACATTTTTGGTTTTATAATCTTACAAAACAACAATCTATTGATCATACCAATGAATTTTTAAGTAGATTATTCAAAGCCGATGAATTTCCTCGAGGTTAGAAACGAAAGCAATTCGTTTTATTTCAAACTTAAGAAATATTTCTATAGATTATTTTTCATTTATTAAACGATTAATGGAATTATTGAGATTATTTTCAAGCATACGAAAATTACAACTTGAAATCCAAACACAAACCAATAATAATCATCCGAGTATGTTCAAAACTGAAGTTGAGCCTGTGCTATTACAAATATATTTTTTCTTGATGATGTATCATATTTTTAGTATATGAAAATAACTTTGAACGAGACGCTGATATAATAAAAGAGAAGCTTTTAGATTTACTTGAACAAGCATTTCCTAATCCAATGTTTATCAATGATTTAGCAAAGTAAGTAAAGAGCTTAACTTTGCTTAACGACTCTTCTCTTTCTCTTATGCCTCAAAAGATATCTCAACTATGATGATCAGATAATATCCCAGTATCTCAACGAATTAGAAGATAAAAATCTTGTTAAACGACTTGATCATAACGGTCTACAATGGACTCGTGTAATCATCTCAAAGAAAGAAGAAGATACACATAGTTCGTAGAGAAAAAGAGACATTTTTATGCAGCTGTAATTATCATATTATCTACTCTGTAGAAGTTATTCTTTATAAGTCAATCGCTGAATTATCAAATTCATTTCGTCCAACAATTGCAATTATAACAGTAAATTATTTTGAAAAATTAGCAGTTGATGCTATGCTAGAAAATAAAGTAACATTCGTACGACATAAAGCAGGTAAATAGTAATCCTATTTTATTTCTCTCTCTCTTCCTCTCTCAAATAATACAGGTGAATCAAATGTTTATACGATTGGCAAAATCGGCACACATTATGTTGTATCAACCAAATTACCAATAATTGGTCGAAGTCGTACAGCACAAATTTCAACTGGTAGTACAACAACTCGTCTATTGGGTACATTTCAATATGTACAACATGTTTTTCTTGTTGGTTGCGCTGGTGGAATTCCTCATTATACTGATGCAAACAAACATATACGACGCGGAGATATTATTGTTGGATATCCAAACGAAGAAGATTATGTCTATGGTAAATATTGTCTATTTGTAATTGTAAGATAGATCACGATCTTTCGATTTATCAAGTTATAAATGATAGAGTATTTGGTATGTACTTAACGATTGTTGAAGAGATACTAAAGCATGATTGATCTGTATAAAGGTGTATGTCAAAAATTGAGTTTTAATAATGACATTTCCTACGTCTTCTATTTGCATCTAAGTGAAAGATCACTATTATCTGGTGTATATATATATATATATATATTATATATAGCGATGATTTGTTCGATGCTTGCAACTGTTCTCTTACATCTAAGAAAAATAACAATGTATCCTGAAGATATTATATTGTATTCCCGTAAGCATAGTTATTAATGCACATATGCACACAAGTATCATGTGTGTGTAATAGTGATGAATTATTGATGAACAAAGAAGAAAATAATAATTGATTGCACAGTTTGATAGAAGAATCCATATGATGTTAAAACAAGCAAATGGTATTTTAAAGAGCAAATATGAAATGCGTCTCATTGATTTATTCATTAGTAAGAACTATCGGTTTGTAATAGTAATGAATTTTCTAAAAAAAAATAAATATGGCTACTTAGATTAGAATAGTTTTTATGCGAATGGATATTACATTTTATTTTACTTTCCAATCATTGATTATGTGGAAAGCGAATTTCGAGTCCTATCATTATTTTTCTTCATAACTATACTAGAGACTATTGAATATAGAAGGAAACACAATGTACCGCATTGTAGTAGAAAATCTTTCGCATGGTATAAAGAAATTAGATATAGTGCTTGTTAGTTGGAGTTGGAAAAGATATTCTTTAGGATTTTATATTTTCCCGTAGGTATTTACGAAGCTGAACAGTCTGTTGAAGGTTATGAATTTGTTTCTACGTGTTATAAACCAAAGAATTTTCAACTCTATGAATTATTAAAATCTATAAAAGAAAATTATGAACAAACAAATTCAAGCCGATCATCAACGCATAAATATCCATGGGAAAGATTTCTTGAAGAAGGTATTGAATATTTACTTTCACATAATATCGATTGTTTACCACCATCGAATGATCGTCTTTGCATTAAAATGGAAGAAAACAATGAAACTATTGAAATAGAACATCCAAATAAAGAGAAAAAAAGTTATTCTCGGCCGACACTACGTTTTGGTATGATCGCAGGTGGGAAAAATATTATTACAAATGATTATTTTAAAGTAGCATTATATGATAAATGTAATGTGCTATGTTTTGACTCTGAAATTGATCAAGTTATTGCTGCTATACAAGGCAATCGTATAGAATCATTTATGATTATACGTGGAATATCGGATTATCACGATGGAACTTTAAGTAAAGAATGGCAACCATATTCATCTTTATGTGCTGCAGCATTTATGAAAACAATTATTTATAAAATTCCAAATAATTTATTTTCTCATTCCAGCAATGAGCATGATTATGATGAAGAAATACTTTAGATTAGAGGTGCACTAATTTCAATTCGAGTCAATTCAATTCCTAAAATTGGTCGGAATTGGTTTAGAATTGGCTCTAAATGAGTGTAGAATTAACTGGAATTGATGGTATAATTGGTTATTCTTGACTAGCTAGTGCTTGAATTTGCCAGAAATAAAATAAAGAAAATGAGACGCATAAAGCCTTAAATCTGAAAATTGAAATTTTTATCATAAACGTTACCACTCGAGTCACAATTAATAATATATTTGGAATTAGTGCAAAAAACTGACTCAAACAATTTATATTTTAAATACTTTCGGTAACTCCTTTTTTCTACAGGAAATTCACCTGGGATACTACTCAGGGTTTAGTCAAAAAATGAAACTAATCAGAAAGCAACTTGAACAGCAGTAATTAACTTAGGAGAATGTAAAATGCTTAGTAATATAGAAAAAAATCACATGCCTGAGCACTAAAAAAAAAGTAATTTTTTATTATTCGACTGAACCCTGGGGAGTACCCCAGGTGAATTTTCCGTAGAAAAAAAAAGTTGACGAAAGTATTTAAAATATACATTGTTTGAGTCAGGTTTTTGCACTAATTCCAAATACGTTATTAATTCTGGCTCAACTTGTAGCTTTTATGATAAAAATCTCAATTTTCAGATTTAAGGCCTTATGCGTCCCATTTTCTTTATTTTATTTCTGGCAAATTCAAGCACTAGCTAGTCAAGAATAACCAATTATACCATCAATTCCAGTTAATTCTACACTCATTTAGAGTCAATTCTATACCGATTTCAGACCAATTCCGACCTATTCCAAGCCAAGAATTGGAATTGGAATTGGAATTGGTGCATCACTACTTTAGATAATTGTATACATTCCAATTTTTGCTTTTGTTTTTTAAATAATATTTTATCTTAATCAGAAATACACATAACACTAATATTTCTAGATGATATGGGTAAACATAGGTATGATAATAGACGACGTTCAGTCGTTATTTTGGACGCTGGCTATGTATCGATAAGAACCGATGATATTTTTGCCTCATCAAAAATACTTGGTTTGCATGGAAAAAAATTATTTTGTGTTATTGCAATAGTAGTTACACTTTTTACAATCAGTTTTATTAATCTAACAGTAAGTAAGCACACAGATGCTCGGTGTGGAAATTTGTTTTCCTAGCTCAAAGAACAAGAATCTCGACTCCGAGCGCTGATTTTCTTAATTTTGATTTTGTTTTAGTGTCTCGTTTGGATTATGCATAAACTTGATTGGTCACCATTTCATAAAAATGGATCAACAGTATTTCATTACGATGAAATTAATCAACAAGTTCAATTATATAAGCAAGCAATGATGGATGAAACAGTGTATACAACTACTATAGAAGATTCATTACCTGTTGATTTAATATCTGGAAATCAGGTTAATAAAAATATTGCCGATTTGCGTCAACAATATATTTTTCTCTATTATTTGTTTTTTGTTCTGGGATTAGATGGACGTGTATGGTGAACATAATTCGATTTTATTCGATGATAGTCAAATATCAATGAATACCGAAAGTTTCTACATGAAAAATGATTCTTTGGTTGATTTTACTAATCTTCAATCATTTAAATTTCATGACAAAATTAAAACAAGAATACGTCTTGATCGTGTCAATTCAAGACATGTAGGAGAATTTTCTTTTTCTTCTTCTTCTTCTTCATCTTCAATAGAACACTTAGGTTAAAGCCATAGGTAAATCAGTTAACTCGAAAATGATCTTCTAATTGGTCCTATCAACAGTAATATTCCATGATTATGTAAAATTCGATGTAGAAGACTGACTTTTTTCTATGAATCCATTAGATGTGCTCAAATAGAAGAGCAGATGTATCCGCTTCTAGCTGTGAAATATCAAGGCTAACTTCTACAATTAATGGAAGGTATTGCATAAGCATACGATGTTGAGCTGTTCTAATAAAGAATTCATACAATGGCGATAATATGGTCTCTTGAGGAATGTAAATTGGAATGGATTTGAATTTTGTTTTTAAAGGTTTCTTCAAGATGCAAAGAAACCTTTTAAGAGTTCGGGAGAAGCTTTTAAAGCTTCTTATCGTGCTTAGAAATTCTGTTAGTTCCCTATTTATTTTTATGACGATCGCGGTGAACTAAGTAATTTGTCATGTTAAGCTTAATTGTCTTTATTCCGGACAAAAAAAAATGGTGCTTTCTTTGAAAAAGTTATTCTTACGATAGTGATGAATGCCATCCTTTGTTTCTATTACATTTTCTGTCACTCATGAATTACTTTATGATTCGATGAATACATCATAAGTTGCAATTAGTACTTATGAATGTTGATATACTATCGGATTGTATTTGAAAAATAGAAATATTTCTTTATATAGATTCACAGTCAAACTCTGAATATCTCAACGAATCAGCATTTAACAGTCTCTAATGTAAATAAAATACATATTTCTGGACCCAATTTAACCATAGAAGCCAATAGATTTAATCGTCATTCGTTATTACGTTTTGGTGATAATCCTCGAAGAAAAAAATCTATTTATTATCCACAGGTAACAATAATTATGCTACTGGAATTCGTTAAACTATTGTCTTTTTTCTTCTTTCTTAATAGAGAACATCCAATGGAAATATAAATTTTCACTTTAATTCATTATATCTTGATTTACTACGATTACCATCAGTGGAAAATATAGATCGTAGTGAATCAATTATCTATCGTATATGTATATGCAATACAACATACTTACTTTTATGGAGTTTCGCTCATCAACCATGTCCTCTTTGTTGACAACACTGTTTGACTTTCTTTTTCAGGTGCTATACCTTTTTCCTCGTGCTTTCATTCTTCTGTTTTTTAGTATTGCATTTCGACATGTTGCTTTTCTTTTTCTTTTCGATGCTTTTCTGTTCGAATTTTCCAAATGGGATAAACCTATCCTAGAATGCACGTGTTTAACAATCGTTTTCAACATTGAAAAGAGAATAAAAGAACTTCGACAGTTTTGTTTTACTATGTGCAATAGAAGGATAGATACTTAGTTCTTTTTTTTTACTGAAGAATAGTAAAGTCGAATTTCTATCATTGCCTACTGAATTTGACATGTTGAAAAAAAGAATTAGTTGATGAGCGTGTTCGACCCGAACAGGATCCACGAAATTGGAAGGCAAATACTGAATGGTAATTGTCAATGATTCGCTTTTCTTTCCCCTAAAACACACAGTTTGTTTTGTGAATTGATATTTATTCCTATGGGATAGTTCTTTATTTTTCTATACTCAAATCATGAAAACACAACATAGTCTCAATTAGTATTTCAGAGTCAATGAAGACGATTCTTAAGATGTTGATAACTACATTGCTACTAGCTAGGTATGGATTGTTTATTTTTGAGAAAAAGAAATGTTACGCATGGTAATAAGGCCATGATTCATGTCGATAGCAATATTACGCACGCCTATGTGCATTCATTTACTAGTCGAATCATTCATGCATACAGATATAGACTGAAATTTCATTTGGCCTTTACTTTCATTCGTTTTCGACATCTACTAAACTTTTTATTTATTTGGCTGAATGGAATGAATAGAATTGCGGTTGAATTGATTGCAAAAAGCAAGGTGAGTAATGATATTACAATAATACGGACTATTCATATATCACGATGCATGCAAACTCTAGTTGATAAATGAATTAGACTGACAAATTTCTGCGATAAAACATTCACAAGTATTTTATATTAATGATAAATTGAGAAGCTGAAAGAGTTAGAATTGTCACTATATATTATGTTGACAGTTATTGATTAAAAACATAAGTTCTGGTGAGTTCGCTTTGAATATTGACGAGCAATATTCGAGTCTTACTTGCGACCTCTCTCAAGTGATCCATTATCAAATAAATCAAAGAAGTTGATTATTTCAAATAGGAATAATTTTTAAAAATTTTAATTTATTTTAGTAATCAATTTTTTGTTACATACATGTCTTTAGTTAATTGAAAGAGAATTGTCAATGTTAATGCTAATCCTGCTGCTTTGAATCCCATTGGATCAAACCAACTTTTCTGATGGAAACTTTTGATTGCGCCAATAATATTTGTTTTTCGCGATCAAGCCGCTCTGATTAATTATTCAATAACCACTAATAATATTGAATGATACTTTGTTTTAGATCAAAGTGAACAACTATTAAAGCCCAAATGGCCGACATGCAACCAACACACAAAGATCGGACATTTGCTGCTGCGGCTGGAAGTTAGTATTAATAAAATGAAGCAAATTATAATTTTTTTTCTTCACTTTTTCGCCTATAGTATCGGCAACACCTCAAACTACTCCACCTGATACACCAACACGACATCACAGCGAATCTAGGAAACATCCTGAAAAAAAATTTTCATTACCTCTAGCAGCATATACAATTATATTTGTTGAAGGATGTGAACGTTTTTGTTATTATGGTCTTAAAGCAGTTTTACTGCTTTATTTGATGCAATTTCTTCGCTTAAGTAAAGATTCAGCAACAGTTGGATATCATTTATTTTCGTTTGCATGCTATTTTACACCAACGATCGGAGCTATTTTATCAGATGGTTATATTGGCCGATATTGGACTATTGTAATTTTATCAATTATTTATTTGGGTGGAACACTTATTTTAACATTAACAGCAATACCGGCACTTGGCGGAAAAACTTTGTATGTCTATTTTATAGTATTGAAAACATTTTCAGTATTATAATTTTAGAGCTGGACCTATCGTTGGTTTATTGTTGATTTCTTTCGGAACTGGTGGAATAAAACCGTGTGTTAGTACTTTTGGAGCTGATCAAATATCATTGAATAATGTAATCTATGTCTAATAAAGTTGTATGTTTAATTGTCTCTTATTTTATTTTTAGCCAAAAGCATTGAGTCGATATTTTTCGTTCTTCTACTTTGCAATAAATTTTGGCTCAGTTATATCAACAATAATTACACCTGTTCTTCGAAGTAATTTAGAGTTTGAAAATTTTCAATGATTTTCTTTTATTATTTTCCTTATTTAGGTCAAGTTCAATGCTTCGGTTATGATTGCTATGCATTAGCTTTTGGCATTCCCGGATTCTTAGTATTTACGGCTATTGGTAAATAATTGAAATCTCTTTTTTTTCTCAAAATTTCATTTGCTATTTCCTAGTAATATTTCTATTGGGCACTCCATTATACAAACGTGTTCCACCAAAAGAGAATATCATTGCCAGATTTGTTGCCGTTATTTTTGTAAAAAATCAAATTATTTCTGATTGTCTTGATTAATTTGTTTTTATTTGTAGCATGCCATACGAAATTCATTATTCGGCTCACAATCACATGAACGCAAAGAACATTGGGTGTATCACGCTGATGACAAATATGGTGTACGAATAAACGAAATAGAAGATTTTTTGTTTGTGTTAAACTCAATGAATATTTCATAGTTATAATCAGTATTTTTTATGAAATCAAAACATTTTTGAGAGATAGAATAAGTAGAAATACGATAAATATTTTGCAAGATAAATAACTTCGCTCTTTATAAAAGAAACTCTCACTATAATTTATCCTGATTTCAATTTATTTATTTTAGCCGCATGATATTGAAGATGTTCGTTCCGTACTTCGTGTTTTTCTTCTACTGACGCCAATTCCAATATTTTTTGCGTTATATGATCAATCCGGTTCACGTTGGACTTATCAAGCATCATTAATGGATGGAAATCTTGTATGTATATCTTCAGCAAAGCACTTTTAATCAGTAAGATTTCAATAATAATTAGGGACCTTTGGGTACAATTGAACCGGATCAAATGCAAGCATTAAATAGCATATTGGTACTTATACTCATTCCGCTTTTTGAAGAAGTTATTTATCCAGCATTTGCTCGTTATAAAATTTTAGAAAAGTAAAAACATTCTTTGTTAATGAAAACTAATATATAAAATTTATGAAAAAAAAACACATTATTTTAGACCATTAAAACGTATGATTTGTGGAATGGTTGTTATGATATTTGCCTTTATCGCAGCGGGCACTCTTCAAGCAGCAATTGAAGTACGATACTCTCTTTTCCTATTGTAAATATATTCATAATATATAAATCTTAGATAAGAGCAGACTCACGTGTAATTCGTACCCATACACAAATATTTAATGGTTATAGTTGTTCAATAAATATCAACGCGAATGAAACGCTTGAACCAAGAGAAGCAAGTTTCATTTGATTTCAGTAGGAAAAAAGAATCACCAGTCAACTCTTTTCAGGTCATAGATTTTCCATGTTCAAAATTATTTGAAAATCGTATTTTCGTTACTTCAACATGCGATCAAGCTAAGAATAGTTATAAATTATCTACTAATGAACCTTGTCCAACGTTTCTGACTATTTCACAAACTAATGATCATTCAAATGGGACACAAATTACAATAACACCAGTAAAAATGAAATAATTATTATTACTATTCATTTAAATTGAATTTTCTAGTTCAGCAACGCCGTTTCATATGAAAGGATACCTAACGAATATGCATTATTACGGTATTAGAGTTTCAAATGACTTTTCGTTTTTGCTATTTTTGTTTAAAATTCTTTTAGTCTCGTTTCATTGGATGGCAAACAAACAACTTTAATAACAATCCCAAATAGATATAAATATGATATAGAACAAAAATTATTTCCAACAGAATATCAACCTGTTCTTGGAGCAGAGTTAGTTCTTTTGAAAGTGCTTGAGAAAAAATATATTTGTTTTGGCCGTTTCGATAGGTATCAACTTCGAGATGGAACTGATAAAGGTCGCATATCAGTAGAAAAATTTAAAATTTCGACAACAGCTGTCTATTCAGCACTTACCTATACTACAAATGATAATAAGGTTAGTTGAATATAACAATAATATTTCACTAGCAAATAATTCAGTCGGATGAACTAATTTGAAATGACAATTTTCCACTTATCGTTTTTCTTTTGTTAAGCACAATCCAATAGAAGTATCGAAGTGTAATCATAAGAAAAGTTTAATTCTCTCAATAGAGATAATCAGGTGGTGGATTTCGTCTTGTTTGATTCAGCTAGATAGGCATACGATTTGAATAGAATTTTCCTCGAGATCGTTCCCATAAAATTTCAATAACTATCGATAGAAATTTGTCGGATTCCGATCAATCCAATCACTTGCTCTACATAAACATGAAAGTATCAAAGTCTATCGTAACGATTGTTGGTATTCAATCATGTCTTCTATATAAATAGTATTTCGGTACAATATCTGAACCAAATCCCTAGAGGATTATGTGAAACGATAATGCAGAAATCTTTTCTTCACAATATGGAATAGAACAGGTCCCGCGCAATTAACAAGAACAGCTGCATCATGTTTCAGCGTTAACTCTCAGGAGGATTGCACTAATAGATGTTTCATTGAATACTGTACGATAAATTATTCTTTTGATTTACGGAAAAACAGCTATTTTATTCGCATAAGAAAAGTTTAAAAAAAAAGAAGGCGAACAAAACTATTAGCATTTGTTATGCGTACATCAGCCATGTCACTCATGATTAATCTTTTGATTGAAATCTCACTTCAGAATTGACAGAGTAGGATAAATAATTATAGTTAGAAGTCTTCATGTTAATTAAACTCGAATTAAAGCAAAACACTTCTTCGTAACTTCAAATATTTCAAACGCAATGAAATGAATTTCAGCGGTAAACATTAAAATGCTTTTAAAGAGTTTCAATTCCATAACATCATAAATTAAGAATACTAATTTATAGCCTCGCTGCAGTTACATCACAAAATATATCTTATTTCGTTGAGTTATTCATGTTAGAGTTACAACTATTCTCGATTCGAATAAATAGTATTCCCATGTGTAATTGAATATGTTTTCAACAAATTACATCATGATCATACCTAGTATAGATGAGTCAGCCGACGTAAGCGACGCCCAAACCTGCCCAAGAGATATCATCCGATTTTGCTCAATTTTATATATGTTGCAGAGGGAAGAGTTCTGAGAATTTTCACGAAAGCCGTTTTGAAAAATATTGAACGCTCGACTTTTTATGATCATTATACGAAAAGATCCAAAAAATCACTGAAAAACTGGTCCTTTCATAAAAGTGTCCGACTGTCGTTGAAATATCATTTTTTTTCGTAGTTTGGTTTGAATTCATCATGAATATATGCTTTTCTCTTCACAAAAGTTCTCTATTTCTTCAGTAGGCAGTTCAAAATGTTGATGAAAACTTCAAAATCGTGGATAAAAACCCGTCTACTTAGCAGATAGCTTTGATTGCAAGTCTTTCAAAGCCATATAACTGGATAGTACCTCCAAAGTTGATGAGAATACATATAAAATTCACGAGTAAATCTTGTTCCTTTTGGGAGAAATCGAGCATGGAAAATCACGGAAACTCGATTTCTAAAGAAACATTTTCAGTACGAATAAAGATATTGAGAAAACTATTTTCGCTTAATAGAGAAACTTCTTTGTGATATGAATTCGAGATCTGAATTGCGATCTGTTTAGTTGATATATAAATTTTGAGTTCATTTCTTTTAGGAAATCCCTATAAACTTCAAATAGGCTCACAGTGAAAATTTGAACTAAAATAGATGTATCATTCATGAAATATCGGTGTCAAAAAGATCGAAAAAAAGTGATTTTTTTCGCCAACATGGCCTTAGAACAACTTGAATATCTCAAGAACAATATTATGTTTTATTCAAGTTGCTTGCACAGAAATTCGCGGAAAACTCGTCTCTATAACTAATGCACGGCCATGAAAATCGGTAATGACATAGTCAGTGATTTCTAGGGGAAACCAATGGAAGTTTTCGTCGAATGCCTCACACACCGCTATACGAAAATGACCTGCTGTAAAGGCCACTTGTGAAGATCCTATGCTGATTGTTTTTATAGAATTATCGAGCAGAGATAGGACTACCAGCTTGTAAAAAGCAGCTCCCCAACTGACTCATATTTTAGGAGAAAACTCATCCTAAAAATACCTATTTTCGGCAAAACCCCATTATTCAGGAGCCTATTGTGCCTAAACGATATTAAGATAGATGGCTATAATTTTCAGAAAACATAGATCTATGAGTGTCCAATCTGTCGTGAAAATTTGATGCATCCATCTTATTTTAATCAAACGTTTTATAGAAGCAAAGTTACTGACAGCACTCATTTTCGTCTATATCAAAGGATTTATGGAATTTCAACAGTTCCATATTTCGAGGCGCAAACTCTACGATAAGTAGAGTTCATTAAGTTATATACCTGTAAAAAATTTCAGCTCATTCTATCCAGCCAACTTCGAGATATTGCCGCATGAAGTCAAGTTCAATGAAAATGGTAATTTTTTGAGTCTTTTCGTAAAATGGTCATAAAAAGTTGAGCGTTCAATATTTTTCAGAACGGCTTTCGTGAAAATTCTCCAAACTCTTCCCTCTACAACATATATCAAATTAAGCAAAGTCGGATGACATCGTTTGAGCAGGTTCTCTACGATTCTGGCGGCGTTTATGTGGACTAGCTCATATTTCAAGGGATTTTTATGCATGGTTACTATAAGAATGTGACAATAAGATGACTGACTGCGATGTGATAAAGACTTTTCATGGACTATTAAACATTAAAATACATAGATGTAATGATCCAATTTAGATATAATTAAGTATAAGATAAATCCTTTTCTTCATTAGCGAAAAAATTCTGCTAATTATTTACAGTATACAGAATGCTTTTGTTTTAGTTGCATGTTACTGTTTTCGAAGATGCTCGATCGCATAAAGTTCATATGTTATGGCAAACAGTTCAATATCTTCTACTAACTATTGCAGAAATACTTGTTAGTATAACAGGTCTTGTATTTGCCTATTCTCAATCACCAAAACGCTATAAATCAGTCATAATGTCAGCATGGCTATTTACAACGGCTATCGGCGATCTTATTGTAGCTGTAGTTGCCGAAGCTCGCGCGGTTCGAAATCAAGTATGACAATAAAATTTGATTGTAATCATGAGATTTAAATTCAATTTCATTTCATTTGATTTAGTCTATTGAATTTTTCTTATTCTCTGGTCTCATGACATTTGGAGCAGTCGTATTTGCTGCACTTGTTAGCTTCTACAAGGAATACATACCGCCTCATCATGAATCTGAAGATCAACAATTAATCATCTCTCCGAATGCTATTGAAACTGAAGATGAGATTCAATTGTCAAAATAAATCTCATCATAAGCTTTTCAATTATAAAACAAATGTGCAATGAATCTCATCTAATATTATTTTCCGTATTGTATTGTGTAACTGTGTATATTTAACTTTCATTCTATGATAACCTGACAGAACGAATCTTTTCAATCCAGCGACAGCTATTTACTCAGTTATATATTTTATTTTATTTTATTTTATTGTTGTTGCCGTAAAGAACCTAATATTTTAATAAATTAAATCACTAATCAAAATCACAATTAAAAGAAGATTTATTTTGAAAATAAATAAAAAGGACCGATGATGAATGATCAGGTCAAACAGAAGATCTATTTTCCTTTTTATGTATTATTTTCTTCGGCTTCTTCTTTTTACATGGATCGTCATCTTTTTTTATGCCCTGTAAATAAACGTGAATATAACAGCGAATTTCGCTGTTGTTAAGGTTTCAATCAAATTTAGCGGCGGCCAATACGTGGTAACATAATGATACGTTTGGTCCATTGTAAATTGCCTGGGCTGAATTGATTATTTCGATAAAATGTTTCGTCTGCTAAATGATCTTCGTAGACATTTTGAGGAAAATTAGTTTTATGATGATTATAAGAAGGCAGTCGACCAGGATCGGCTAGATGATAGGTGAAAACTAGATTATCAAGTTGTGCTTGATCGTCGTCATCATCTCCATATAGTAATGGTTGCGTGCTACTTATTTGAAGAAAAGTGAATAAAAGCACAAAAAAGACCATCACTAAAAGAATAGATAACATAGTTAAATCGAAAAATATGATTAAACATTTTCTTGGAGCATGGGAATCGGAAGCTTCTTTTGAAATATCTATCCGTGACATTGTCGACTGGTCCTATACTATTACTTTTAGTTCAAACATCTCATGTCTATTGCACACAACTTAACCTATTGTGTGCCAAAGCACCAGCTAGGCACCAGTCGGGCTCGACAAGAGCTACTTAACAGATAGATTATTTTACGTTCAATTGTACATATTCTGATGTCTTAATTCATTTGATTGAATAAAAGGTAAAATTATGATTTCTCTTACATAATGAATTATTATATTTTATGAGATAACTTACATTTCATAAGCCAACATTTTGAAGGAACCATGATGATAGAATATTATATTTGTCTTAAAATAATAATAATAATAATAACAAGTACGTGTGGAGGCGTAAGTAGCCTTGGAAACCCTAATCCGTTCGTCCCCGACGACTCTCCGCAAAACAACAAAATCCCTAGGAAATCACTGAGGATTCTTCTAGAGAGAGTTGACTAGGGAAGTAATGATAGTTGAGAAATAATCTTTTTCCTTATAGATGAATGTTTATGAAATATATATATAGAGTGTGACGGACGTTCGCTCGACAGGTGTTTAGGAGATAGAGACAAATGGATTTCATAAATATACCGAGCGACTATCTATTTTTCTCTGCTCTTTTCATCTCTCTAGATTTTCTTCTCAATCTTCTTCCGACAAACGATAAGAGAGCAAAAGAAATAGGAAAGTACTATTCAGCATCGAAATCTTTCTTCTGCTTTTTTGTTCGATATAATAGTAATAAAAAGCTTCTATTCCCTGTGGATAACTACTTCATGTAATGAGAGAATAGGCAAGAAGTGTTGTTTTACCTGCATCCGAAAAGTGTCAGTCAATATACGGTAGATGCTGTTTTCCTATTTATTTCGCAACATAAACACCGCATGAATCTGAAGAAATATAACAATGTGACTTGTTACATGTAATTGTTCGATTACTTATCCTATTTTCTATGAGATCATGTATTGTACAAAACAAAAAATATGATATTGATCTTTATTGATAGGATTTTACGCTTAGATTCGCCAATATAAAATGATTCATTTTTATACTTATTTAATCAAGATTGGTCGTTCGTTCTTTTGTTGTCGCTTTTCTATCGCACATTACTATCAGACATTACTAATGAGCAACGATAGTAGAATGTGGCCATGCAGTACAACCAGATAGAGCAACTATTACTATAATTTTTCTATTTACTGTTTATGGGGAATATTGTTCTATACTCAAATTGATTACACATAGAAGTTCGCGATTAATTTAGAATCACACTATATATAATAACTAGTTAATAAATAATAAGTAAATATTATTCAATGAATGCTAACCCTATTTTTCTCTCTTCTCAACTCGAATTTCAATAAAAAAATTTCTTCAGAGCCAAGTTTTTGAGAAAAAAACCTGTAAATCAAATCTATTCAAACCTGAAAAAACATTATTACTCTAATTCAAATTTAATAATGTCGTATGTATAAACTTTAGAGTTAAATTCAAGTTCGAACAGCACTTATCATACGTGAGAAATGACGCATTCAATAAGTCATCATAACTTGTTCGATGTTGACAAGTAATAAGTATTTAAAGAATTAAGCTCAGCGTCGTCAATCAAATAAATATAATTCAAATGATTTAAATGCACCTTCAAGGATAACTGATGACAAAGAATGTACCATTTCTTCTTCTTAAATAAGAGGAAAATATAAAGTCGAACTGCACTAAAGCTTTCATCAGGCACTTTTCTAATAAACGGAAAGAGTGCTTATTTAATTGCATAAATAAAATTGCATTTCTAAATAAAACAAGGCGGATATTGTTACTTTTCCGTATACAAACTGATAAGATCTATTTGATCAGTATAAAAATAGCTGCGCGGAAATCTAGAATTATGAGCATCTCTGGCATGGTAAATTCGAATCGACTCAAGTTTTGATTTAATCGCATTATTTTTACTTCGATTAACAAATAGCAAAAGCATTTTTTTACAGGAACAATTGTATTTTTTGTGTGCATGAAAACATCTACAAGCGGCAAAAACAAACAAAGCTTCAATCATGTGTACTATTGCATATTTAATAACACCGTAAAAATAAAAGGATAATGGATTGATTCGAATTAAATATTTGATCGTTCATAAACCATCCGACGATGGATATAATTTTTCATCGGTGTGGTTCCGCAAGAAAAAAAATGCGCTGTTTTCAAAAAGAGCAAAACATAAGCTAATAAATGGACATTGTAAATTAACGAGTATTGAGCAACATCAATATGAACTTGATGATGCGCGCATATGACTATCGAACTACGTAGTGGCAAGAAATTCTAAACAGACTGTCAGTATCATAATAAAAATGATAGGCATTTAGAAAATAATATCAACTATGGAAACAATCACGATGTAGCTGGATACGAAAAATCTATGTCAGAGATTGCTGCAATGTTTTGTCTCTGGTAAAGATATGAACGCGAATATTAGATTGATTATCATAAAATAATTCCAACATTTACATACGACTACCAGACATGCATTTACATCTTCTATATAATGAATTTCCTTCAATAAACAGTATGAAAGAACATATTAGTATTCATGGAACCAACGATAAATATTTTTTAATTATATGTCTGTACCATTTTTTTTCAGGAATATATTTTTATTGCATGTGACTGATTCCCTCGAAAATAATCGTAACAAATCATTCTGATTGTTAAAAGTTGTAAAGCAAAGCACTATGTTGAACTTCCGTTTTGAATGAAAATTGTTACAGTCAAATGTATAAAGTTACAATCGATTCTATTTCTAAGAAAAATAATTGTACCAATACTTGTATACAACTGATTGAAATATTCCGCTCAAAATAGAACTAAGAAATGCTTCTTTTCAGATTTATGGTAACTGTTATAGAAAATATTTTTCTACGTTCAGATTAGTTGTTCAATAGAAAGCTGTCCCAGGCTATACGAGCCTACAACCAACGTACGATGCTCGCATGTTTGAATAATTTTTGTAGGGAAAAAGCATTGGATCGAGTATAAACCATTTCTTTGTTTAAAAAGAGCAAAACTCGCAGAATACATTAATAATAATAATAATGCTCAAAACAAAAATTCTACAATCAAAACAATAGAAGTCTACATAGAAGAGTTTTCTATGATCGATTGCATCGAATCAATCAGCTATTGTCTCGTAGTGATAAACAATTCTTTAGATATAAGAATATATTTTGATATCAAATGAAAAATTTGACTTTGCATAGGCAATAAATGACAAGAAATGATTGTTTGCTGACTTCCCCTCGTTGTTTTTTAAACTTCATTCTTTCAAAAACAAAATTGAAAACGAGCTAACATGACATTTTATTGAAGAAAAATAAAAGCATTTATATTTTTTCTCAAAAACACATTCATGTTATGAGGTAAATCAATATTTAATGCGGTGCGAAGCACAACATTCATGTAGTCCGTCGCGAGTTTTTTTTCTCTTTCTTTCAAACTTGAGTACGTATAAGACGTTCTTATTAAGTGATGCGATGATCTAAAGAACCGTAAATGCTAGAAAATCCATTCAAACTAGATATGAAAGTATCGAGATCGAACTTGTTACATCCTTTTTCCAATTTTCAATACTAGGTTTCGTTCGCCTAAAAATATGATTCGAAAATGATGATTTTGAAAGGTTTTATTGTTTGATAGTTTCGCGCTAATTAAAATGACGTCATCAATAGTTGTTAACCAATAGTCTACTGCTTTACATCTGATTCAAGATAATGATCCATGAAAATAATTAATCGTTCAATGAAAAAAATCGTTAGAAAACTGGTTGCTACATTTTCAGAAAGATTTTCTAGTGATGAATTTCAAAATGGTCGATTTAAGAATAGTGAATGCGAAATTTTTATTCAAAATTCGTATACGGAAATTTAAAAAAAATAATCGATTCTAATGAGTCTTAAACTGGATCATTTATTTTTTAAATCTTATTCTCACTACTTTCGAAAATTCGACTCGTGTGCTTCGCACCGCATTTCGTAGTCGAGTGAAACTCGAATACCATCTAGTTTTCATTAATATCAGATTGAAATTGAATTAAATAAGTTTTCAATAACATGTTTTGACATCATAATTTTAAAAGCAAGCTCCATTTACAATCTAGTTATTGTGAGGCACATCGTACGTAAGACAGGCGCATTGTTTTGCTGATGGCACAATTGGTCGAGTTGTCATGTGAAATGATCTCCGCTATCTTAGTTGTGAGAGTATAAGTGGTAATGTTGATTGATGATGGGATCCTTTTAGAAGCATTTATTTGGATTTTGGATTGAAATAGACTCGGTGTTAATCGTTGCTCGCCTTGACAAGGAGAACGTCGACCTATTACTTCTCTTATAGTATCAACCAAATATGTCCACAGCACACAGGGCAGCATGATACATCCGTACTCTGTGACTTCTGGCTTTATTTTGGAAATGACAACATTTATTTTTTCGGAAATTCAGAACTACCTATGAAAAATGCAAATAGCACTATCAAATGAACAATACAATTTTTAACCGTACGATAATCTTCAAGTTCAATCACAATAGAGAAAAAAACTTATAAAAATACCATCACTATCGACTGATACCCACATGATAATGTTTTCATTATCGTTTCTGTTGATGAAAATAAGGTAACCGTTTTATCTGAATTACATATCTCGATTAGTGATGAAACTTACACCTATTCGATTAAAACGCTTTTTAAAAGTTGAATCCATAGAGATTTAAGCATCGTGAGAGATATCATCTAGTTATTTTTGAATACGAAAAGTATAAATTTTCACGAATTCATAATAATCTCAAATGGTTAAAATGCCGTTATAAATTAGCTTCTAGATCCATTAGTGAATTTAAGTGTGTTCTTTCATGCGTTGATCGATGATTCTTTCTAGCGTCATCATGTTGTTCTGCTGTTAGCATAGATAATTTGCGAGTGACTCAAATGAAGCGTGTAACACTAGAGTAGGTGAGCGAGATTCTGTTTATTAGACCAATGGAAAACTAATTGAAAGAAAAGAATCAAACATTTATTTATTTTTCTGGTGCTCTTAGTACATTTCGACGAAACCCATGATTTCGGATAGGCTTTATCTCTCTAGAAGCCAGGCCTATTGAAATCTACCTGCTGAAGTACATTTGAGTTTACTGAAAACGTTTTAGAAAGATACTTCATACGCACGATAAACTCTAACTATTTCAAGTGAATCCGATAATTCGCTTTTAGCTTACAAATCAATGTACGATCCTCGAGAGCT